TTATAAAACCTGATTCAAGCATCCTATACTTTTGTGTATTTTTTGCAAAAAAATTGATTAAAATATCTCTTGTAGTTTACGAGTTATTAGCTTTTTAAAATAAGACATACTTTCCGCCCACCCTGTATGTTGGTAAGATTTAACCGGATTCACATGTACTACTATGGCTTGACTACAATTCGGGTTATACTCAAAGAATAGATTTAACATTACCCATAGAAGTAACATTACCCATTGACTTCTTAGTTGTTACATAAATTTAGCATTAGTCACATAGGATTAACATTGCCCATAGGATAACACTAAGCCCATGTTAAAGTATAAAAATATACTTAAACTATAATCCCATGTTAAATCCCATAGCGTGAGGGTGAGGGGTGGGGAGGGTATAGCCGAACGATCTTATAAACAACATTATTTATATCTTAATTGAGGTTAAAAGTAATCACCTAGGTTAGATCGTATTTTTTATTAAGAGTAATTATTTATAATTACAGTATACGATCTTTATGAGGTAGTTAACAAATACACATAATTAATAAATTTATTATTTATCTAGCTCTCAGCATATATGGAAAGATTGTAATATGAATGCTGTAAATAAATTACCCAGTTCACTATGTACTCCAAAGAATATAGAGTATTTTGACAATTACATGGATAAAGGAATGTTAGACCCGATGGCCGTGTTTTGCGGCGATTACGACGCGTCCGACAAATGCGACAAATTAGTCAAACAATTTCCCAAATCATATTCTGGCAGGCTGGTTTATAAAACGATTTTTCCGGCAGTAATTCAACTATTTGAATCTCTTTAAAAAATATTTTACCAATTGATTGTGTTGCAACTTGCAACTTGTTAGATCTAAATATTAGCATTATTATTTTAAAATATTTACCAAGCCTGGTTTTGAAAATCCTTATTTTTATATGAAATGTTTTTATGCTTATTAAAATTATTATTTTTATGGTGTTATTTTGACTATTAATATTTAATGTATTTAATCTAGCAAAGTAGATTTTGTTTAAAAAATTCTGTATTGTTTGCTGTTAATTATACTTTGTTCTGTCATTAAAACATCATGTATAATATTATTATATGACAATAAACCCTTAACCTTCAAATTGAAAGTATTAATATAATATCAAGAAATGATTGAAGTATGTAATTTAAAATACACTAGAAAATGAAAATATACTTTTTGAAAAATAAGTTTGGTCTTTGAAAAGTCCGGTTTAATTATAGATTACGAGTTAATATACTCAACATATTTGATGTTTATAAAACAGGTACATGTAAATTTATATCATCATGTATATTATATGAGCCTTATTCTTGCCATACAATTTTGATTGTTATATAATGGAGCATGTTAAATATTGCTACAACAAACATTAACCTTCACAAAATAGAATTTTATTTGTTTGATGTTTGTAACTTCAAGCATCTAATTTTCATCTGGCCAACTAAACAATAATTGTCAAATATCATGAGGTATTTTCAAACAAGTTTTTTTTCACTTTGATGAAATTGTTTAACTATAAGACACTAGCCACCTATAACCATTGTTAAAGAGTTTATACAATAACATAATTGCATCTCTGTAGATCTTAGATATACTTTTTATAGCGTTATTAAGATAATTTAATTGATAATTTATACCTACCGTAAACATGATTAAACTAAATATATTTGCAACATTTATTGTCTTATTTGCATTAGTAAATTTGTACCAAGCGCTGGAAAAGGGATGCCGAATGAGGTAATATATTTCAATTTTATAAAACTATCATCTTGATAAATTTGATTTAGGAAACAGAATATTTTAAATAACATAATATAAAAGAGCATTTGTAAATGAATACATTTTGTTTATAATAATTTATATGTTTTCAGTCAATTGGACGTTAAAATGAAAAGTATTATCAATTTTATTGGTGCAGATGAATATAAATTCCCTGATAATGAACGCGATTTTAATAATTATTGCAAGTATGTACTTTTGATGATTTTTCTATTTACCATGAATATTTTATTACAAGAATAATAGTAAATATTTGATTGTTATTATTATACATAAGCAATAAATGTAATAAAACCCAAGAATATCTCTCTCTTACACACACTCACTTAGTCACTAACTTAACTACATAATTATTTACTAAATCAACTATGTACATTAATTTCCAGGAAGCTTGTGCCGGACATTAAGGTCGGCCGTGAGTTTATGCGAAAGTGCGCCAAAGGTGTGACCAAAACCATGTTATCGGTTGTATTGCATTCAATGGAAAAAATGACAGTAAAAACCACGTGCAAAATCAAAAGGGAGAGATTGAACATGTTGAATTTTGCCCGGTGTGGTAATGGGGCTCATAAGAAATATCATAAATGCTGGGAGAGTCACAAAAAGAGACTGGTTTCTGCCAACACAAATGTCACCCGGGCTAATTTGAAATTGCCTTTACTGTGCTGGTAAATCATTGTATTACCTTGTGAAATTGTATACTGTTATTTGGGACATGTACAAAGTATTGATACCTGTATAAGTTATAGTCTAAAAATTTAATGTAGTTTATTTTTTAAAATATATTTTTTTAAATTAAATTTTTAAATTTTATTAGCATAATATAATTTTATTAAAATAAAGTGTTTAATTCTACATTGTATACATTTAATAGCTCACAGATCTTATGGAGAGATTGCATAATGACTGTTTTCAACGAATCACCACGCTCAGTTTGTTCAGTAAAGAATCTAGAGTATTATGAACAATACATTGAAAAGGGCATGGTCGACCCAATGTCATTGTTTTGCGGTGATTATGACAATTCGGACAAATGCACCAAGGTCCTTAAACAAATGCCCAGTGTTAAACAGGCTAGACTACAGTATAGCACCATGTTTCCCACCATAATTGAAATATTTGAAGCATTGTAATATTATGATAATTAAAATATTACTTCATCATCACAGAACATACCAAGAACATCTTTACACTTATTATTTAAATAATATCTAACTTGTATATTTGATTTATTTTAACAAATAAATGTATTTTATTTTGCAAATTTAAAATAAATTATAAACTTTATTAGTTTCAAAATAATTATTTTATTTTAATTTTGAAAGGTTATTTTATTGTTGAATGAACAAAACATGTGTACCCATAAAAATTATTGACTTTAATTGCAAATTAGTTTGGGTACTTGTTTCCCCATAGGCTCGCATTTAAATTCCGATCAAGTGCTTTCTATTTTAGTAAATAACTTTTAACATTCCGTGGGATATTAAGACTGATAAAATCTATATGCTAAAAATTGTTTTCACAAAAAAGTAATTTAAAAGTGGTAAAGTGGATCTTAATCAAAAATTGATCTAGACGAACTCAAAAACATAGGATGTTATAAAACCACTATTATAAATTTTCTACCCATCATAATACAATCAACCATGAAGATTAACACTTATATAATACATTGTATTGTATTAATACTGACTTGTATTAATAAATACACTGATGGTTTAGAAAAAGGCTGTAGAATGAGGTATGCGAATTATGCCTAAGTTCTAATATAAATCTACAATTTATTTATCATTGTAATTTTAATTTGCTTTGTAGTCAACTGGACTCAAAAATGAACGAGATTACTGGCATAATCTCAAAATCGGACCGAAAATTTCCCGAAAATGAAAACCAGCTTGATCACCTTTGCCAGTAATAAATTATTTACTAACTTTATGTCTATTATAATTAATTATTAAAAAGTTAAATCAGTAAATTTAATTTAGGTAACATTATTTAATCATGTAAATTTAATATTTAGGATAAATGCCAGAGATATAGCCGCCAGTAGAAAGTATATGAAAAGGTGTACGACAGGTACGGCTAAAACAATCATCTCGGTATCGATACACTCGGTTGAAAAAATGAATATCAAGACCATGTGCAAAATAGCCAATGAACGTAGGCGTGTCATTCAAAACTCCAAGTGCTATAATCGGGGTAAAAAAGAACTGACCAAATGTTGGACAAATAATAACGCTATGCTTATGGCCATTAATAATGTTACCGATGCCCAATTGAAAATACCGCTTCTGTGTTGGTAGGTTATTAATAATAATCCTATGAGTTCTTTAAAATTTAATTTATTCTTGTTTAATGATAATAATTTTACATGCTAGAATTATTGTCATTCAACGATCTATACAATTGATATTGTAATATTTTTATTATATTCCAATTAATTAAAATTAATTTATTAATATTAAATATTAAATAAATTAATGAAATAAATTACTTAATTTTATCTAGCTCAATGATGAAATGGAAGCAATGCACTTTGAACGTCTACCAGAACATTGGACCACCCTTGTGCCAGCAAAATGAGCTAGACTATATTGACCAGTTTCTAGATAAATCAATGTTTGACTCCATGAATATATTTTGTACGGATTATTTTACTGAGTCCGATAAATGTGACAATATTATGCCTAAACTAGCAAACATTAAGCTGGGTAAAAGAATCACCTATGCCACACCATTTCCTGCAATATTAAACCTATTTGAATCATTATAATTAGAATTAATAATTTTTATCATGTACTAAAAAAGCAACAAGTTATGCGTTATTTTTGTCAACATGTTTACACACATAATTAATTTTGCATTTTATTGTAACTTATTTATCAGAAACTTTTAATTAAAGTTTTAAATAACATTTTTTAAAATAAAATCATTATCATAACTAAAACACGTTATTTTGTGTCTACAATACCTTTAGAAAGTACCTTGAAGCGGTTCCCCATTACCACATTAGTGCAATGATAATGTTAAATGACATTGATGGTTTCATGTCTGGCCCTCATTCGTGCTATACTAGCATTTAATATCTCAATATAAACTTAATATCAATTGTGTTATAAGGATGACATTGAAACGACCACAACATTATTGATTAATTCATTTAATAGTAATCATGGCTTAATTAATTTTACTTGAAATTTATTTTTTGTGTGATTATGTCGTAATTTACTGTACTTTACTTTAATATGTATGTAATATTTAGATAATACTCTTAATTAATTTTGAGCTTTTTATTAAGATTTGTGTAATAATAACATGTCTTATAAAATATGATTTTAAGAAAATATTATTTTTATCACTTATTTGAATGATATTCTTATAATTAAATAATTAGTCTACATTATTTAAAAGTAGCCAGAGATATAACTATTATTAATTGCTGGTAATTGTTATTGATAATTTAAATCCGGTAAATTCATCGAGAATTGGCAATTCTTTTGTAATTAACCAAAATTTACATTTATACAATTTACACTATTTAACATATAATGTACTGTCTATACAGTAAACTACAGACAACTGTTTCGTTAACCTTAAGGAAACTAATCAAGAATATCTGTGTATTTCAAAGCCATAGCCAAAGTATAAAGTTGAATATATAATTGATATTATCGTATATACTGTACAGTAAATGCCAGTATTTTTTGTCCAACAATTCAATGATTAGATAAAATATCAAAAGCCTTGAATTGATAGATGCTTTCAGACGTGGAATATAGAGGTTGTGATCAATGTTTGGTATCGTTAATAAATGTTGTCCCTATTAACTAATACCCTGATCATCATTAGTAAACTTACTACATTCATCCTGGTACAATATATTATTAGGAAGTGTAAGACTAATTATGAATTAAACATAATAGTCTATTTAAAGCTATTTTTAAATGTAATTTATTATGTATGTTAATAGTGCACAGAAATTGCATCAGGATGTTTTAGCGCAGAGTCAGTATACAATTGCCGCTATTACCCCCTATAAGTTAATTTGTGTTGTATATTATGTATTAATCAACGCATATTTTCATGATTGTCATTTAAGTCATGTCATTAGCATGATTTTTATTAAAAAAATTATTAATTAATGTTTTTTAACTAATTAAAATTTTGTATTAATTTAAAATAAAAATTATTATATGTCTGGCATTTAGCGAATATATTTTAGTTTATCACTAGATTTTGTATTGTGATCATTTATTTTACACTTATTTTGTACTTAATTTCACCATATTTTACACACTATGTCTGATCTCAGGTAAATAAAAATTAAAAATTTTCAACTTGTTTATTAATTCATGTATTTAATAATTACTAAAATTACTAAATAATTGCTAAAAAAGTAAACTAAAAAATACATTTATGAAATAACACTCCAGATAAAATTTAAATAATAATTATTTAATTTATTTATTTATTTAATTTTAATACAATTAACTACACTACAAATAGCGAGGGTATAATACTAGGCATCGGTAACCCGTTGCTGGACATCACGTGCAACGTTAGCGACGAGTTTCTAACCAAATGGAAACTAAACGCCAACGACGCGATAATGACCGAGGGCGAATCGCACGACAAACTATTCACCGAGATCACCGCCAACTACCAGTGCCAGTACATAGCGGGTGGCAGTTGTCAAAACACGTTGCGCACAATCCAATGGATGCTAAGCAAACCAAATCTGGTCACGTGTTTCGGAGGGGTGGGCGACGACGAGTTCGGGCGCATTATGGCCGACAAGTCGCGCGAAGTGGGCCTAAACTCGGTGTACAGGGTGGACAAACTGGTGCCCACAGGCAAATGCGCCTGCCTCATCTCCCAGGGCAACGCGTGCCGCTCGCTGGTCGCCTATTTGGGCGCCTCCCAGTCGTTTAACATACAGCACGTGTTGGACAACTATTCGTACGTGGAAAAGGCCAAGATAATTTATTCGACCGGCTATCACCTGGCTGTTAGCAAAGAGTCCATATTGAATTTGGCCGACCATGCGCACAGTAATGCGGGTAAATTGTTTGCGTTCAATTTGTCCGCACCCTATATTAGTCAGGTGTTTGGCAAAGACCTGCTGGAAGTGGTCCCGTATATGGATATACTGTTTGGCAATGAGACAGAGGCGGCCGCTTTTGCCGAGCTTAATGGTTGGCAGGTATGTGTGTCATCTAGATGATGATGATATTTGTTTTTAAATAGGTTATTATTTTTATAACTGATGTTTTAGTAATGATTTTTGTTTAAATTTAAGCATGAGAATTATTTAAAATTATTAAATGTCATTTTTACAAAGGTTATGCGAAACACATATAGAAATGCTATTTCTGCTATTATGCTAGAACTATTTAAAAAATTTATTGTTTATAAGAATAAGTAAATGTTATGTAATATATTAGTACGAAATATACAGAATATAAGTTGTGAGTGAGAAATATTGCAAAAATTGCAATTGATTAATGAGGGGTTTGAATTAATCCAAATAACTAGCAAAATTCATAATGATTAATCTATTATAATAACCATGATAAATAGTGTACAGTTTATACAAAGTTACTATTTTACTATTATATGAATATTAAATAATCTTTTCATACTGGAAACTAGTTATGTAAGCTAATTAAAAATACAGATACTCTTGGTCAAATTGTTTATTAAAAATAATGGGTTAAAATAATAAATATTAGGTTTGGCTTAGTTTGGTCCATAAACTTATATAATTGACTTAAATTAAATTGCTAATATTTATAAAATATTAATTACAGTCATCATAAAAATTTTTAAACCAGACACTTTATTTCAATTGTTTAAAATTTATTTTCAATTTAGAATTATATATTAAAATAGCAATTTATAAACTAGTTTTAATTAATATTATAGCTAAAAATTCATTTAGATTTTATGCATAATAATTTATTATTTAGGATTATATTATTTAGGTATAATGCAATTTATTTGTGTGTAAATTGCTGTATTTAAAAAATAAATCTAGATTATTTAATTATTTATATACTATTATAACCACTGTATTCTTAAGACCAAGTAATTAATTTATAATTATAATATATTATAAATATAATAATCTAATGTATAAGTTACAGTTTTTAACAAAATTAAATAACACCTAAAATTCAAATATTTTAAACTAGACTAAAGACCTGAAACAAGTGGCTAAACTGGCGGCAGACATGCCCTGTCGGCGACCGGACGGCCGTATAGTTGTGATCACTCAAGGAGTTGATGCCGTACTCGTGGCCACCACTGCCCACCACGAGGTCCGTGAATACCCGGTACCGGTAGTGCCCGAGAGTGAGATCGTGGACACAATAGGAGCGGGCGATGCGTTTGTCGGCGGTTACTTCGCTCAGTTGGTCCGCTACCGACCGATCGACGTGTGCGTCCGAAGCGGTGTTTACGCCGCACAGCAAGTGATCCGTCAAATCGGCGCCCATTTTCCCCAACAAATGACTTTTGATGAATAGTTTATACAATTTTTAAAATCATGTTTTTATTGAGATTTATTGTAGAGTATTGAAATTATTGGATTATTAAATTAGATTGTTTAATTAATAGCCTCTAAATTAAGATTGTTGGATTTTTAAATAAAAGTTGCTATGTTAGATTTGATTGTTGTTGTTAATAAAGTTTTATATGGATAAATTCATTTTTAATTGTTGATGGTATAATTTATGTTTGTTTGTAATCATTTTATTTTAATAATCACCAGTACCATTGGTGGATAAGTATGATAGATATATTAAGGTAAGCTATTTAAGTCAAATTTAAAATAAACTTATATTAGATATAATAAGAGTTATGTAAAAATTTTAATTAATCAAAATACATTTTTCGTGCACTTGACTACCAATTATTAAAGCAATATTGTTGTTGATATTAATTATTTAGGTTTATTACGATATTTTTACAGTTTTATCAAAATTATTTATTTAGAATAATAACATTTTATTTTTATAATTATTTCTTTATAACTTTGTTCAAAATTATTATTACAAATATTTTTTATCTAAATAAATTCATTTATAAAAATTAAATGATTAAGTTTGTTATATTAATTAATAGACAACATAATCTGAATCATAAATGTTTACAACATTTATCATATAGTTTTACAATAATTGTAATTATTCTGTTATCAAATATGTATTTCACTATAAAAACATGATAACTTTAACATAGTCTATGTTACATAGACTTAATGTCTAAATTAAATCACTTTCATTTTAATCACTAAATAAAC